ACCGTACCTCTACACCTACGGAGGCGTCCGTATGCCAATTGCACCCTAAGTTTAAAATTGTGATACTATTTCCCATAGGATGTGACGACAGAAGAGCTTCATAAAAGCTACAAAGCAATCATATTAGGGATATGGTTCGTTTACCTAAACATATGCCCCAATCAGCATATGGATTATAATTGCAAGCTAAAGATGGATGGTACTCTTAAAGACATGAGGCTAAACTTTGTAGCCCAATATTATTACAACAAGTTAAATAGACCAATAATAAAAATGACATATTGTTGTAGACTTGTAGCAATAGCTATTAGATCTTCCCTTTATCATATGGATGTGATAAGTTTCTTCAAATCATGAGGCACAAATGGGAGAACAAATACAACAATAAATCAATGATCCGTCTCTTCATTGCTGATGGCGAGAAATCTATACCTTCATCATCAGAGCCTTTTCCCAACATCGGAGAGAACTCTATAGGATTTATCCAAAAAAAGAAGGCTCTACATGGTACAAAGAAAGATCTAGATTTGGTTTGAGAAATTCACTTAGACTAATGCTAGTAAGGGTTTCACTAAGTGGGAGTTCTAGCAACTTAGGCTCACATCCAACAGGTTGTAGATGCTGGTATAATGAAATTCAAGAGTCAATTTTGTAGAATTTTCCTTTGAATGATTGAAGAAATAAATGCTTGTCACTAATTGTACACAAAGTAAGCTGGACACCAGGTGTTTATAAACATAATTAAAAAAATTTCTGCTTTTTAATGATTTGTACTTTCCAATTCTTTGCTATTTTTGGGCAATGTTCTTCCTTTCTATATTGATCAGACTGCCAAAAGCTTTTGGTTCAACAACTCGTCAAATTCTGATACACACTGATAAAGTGAAAGTGAAATATATTCGCTAAAGCAGTGATATTGGTCAAACATTCTCTTCTACAAGCAATTTGGCTTTTAAATTGTTGCTCGTAATTTTATGGCACAATAACACTTTTATATAATCTTTCTGTCTTAGAGGCGATTGTATTAGGCAGGAGAATCAAGGTTTTATCTCATAATTATCTTCGAAGAATTTCTTTTTTCTTGAAACGGGCTACATAGGTACAAACTTGTAAAACAAGAGAAAAACATATTCATGGAACACATATGCATGCCCGCACAAGTAGGACGCTTTTTTTTGTTGTGTGTGTGTGTACAAGTAGGATCTGTCTCTTCTGAACCACCATGAGGGACTGAAGGTGATATTAGATTAAAAGAATCATGCAAACATGCTTTTCTTCTTTATTATCTTTATTCTTTTCTTTTTTTTCCTTTTAATGTGCTAAAATCCATGGGATAAATCCCAGCTTAGCCACTCAGAAAGAAAATTAAGATTTCTTAGCTACCTAACACAAATAACTTTAAATAGTTTTAAGTGAGTAAGCCATGATCTATACCTTTAGATGTATGTGCTGCAGCCTCTATGCCCATAAACAAGGACAATCTTACAACAAGCATCCGCGTATTTTTCTTGATACAGAACTAGATAATGGACACATTTGTAAAAGGCAAAAAAAAAAAGGTAAAGAAAAAAAAAAGAGGGAGTATTTTTATTCTTGAAGGTTGGGTATTATTAGAGCCAACCATGAGTAAAGAGCTAAAGAAGATTAATATTTTTTAGCTACCTAACACAAAAAACTTAAAATAATTTTGAGTAAGCCAAGGTCTATACCTTTATATGTAAGTGCTGCAGATGCTATGCCCATAAACTAGGACAGTCTTACAACAATCGTCCGTGTGTTTGTCTTGATACAAAACCAGAAAATGCCCACACTTGTAAAAGGCGAAAAAATAACGAAGAGTATTTTTTATTCTCGAAAGTTGTGTATTATTATTTTATTCCGCCGAGACCCTCTTATTATTTCTGTACCCTGTTACATAAAGTGGCTAGCTTCAAGTTTTCACTAATTCCCTCCTTCTATCTCCCATTGCTTTTTAATTACTAACGAAACTTCCTACCCTTCAATTAGAAAATGATCTTATTGAAGAGGTATAACGGTTGGTTCATTGAGATAAAGCAAGGCATTTTATGAAGTTCCTTCGAAGAGAAAAATAAACCCTAACTTCTTCAACTGATAGAGGCCTAGATTTCTACCAAGAAATCCATATCTTATCTTCAAAGTAACCAATTGTGAAGGTTACCAAGTATAAGTTTTGATGATTTTGAATCATTTCAATAAAGACAAGAAGCCAAGGCGACAGAATTCACATGTTCATCATTACCAATCCCCTCTTACGTAAACAAGATAAATAATGATAAGATCAAGTCGCTGATGACATTTCCTCAAAAGAATGATGTGCAGTACCCTAAGGTCTTATACAACCGGAATCAGGCTTGGTTTTGATTGGTTAAGGTGTTGAGAAAAGCAGCATAACATACCAAGTTCAAATCCTACCATTGAACTACCCCAAAAAAGAGGTCTCAGGCAACTATAAATACAGGCAATAACAGACTACTAGTCTGATAGTAGGCTTGAACTGACCAAGGTCCTGAGCCCGTGTCACCTAGTTCAACTCGGCCGAGTTTGTAAAATATTAACAAAAGAAATGTCAAAACAAGGTGAGACTTGAGCGAGCCCCTGGTTTTTAATTCGAACTCACCAGGGAACCATGCCGAGCCAACTGGGGCGAGTCCTGATTTGGCTCGGTGATTTTGAAACATTGCAGACTAGTATTAGTAGAGTTTTCTCCTGAAAAGAACTAGGAAACACTCCCACGAAATTAGGGTCTTAGGCTTTAGAGCCTGACTAGAGAGGAGGATGCACATCCTAAAGTGAGGATTCAAACCAGGGGTGGAGGTGGGTGTGCTGCCCAGTGCCACAAACAAGGTGAACTGCCCGGAGTACAAATGCTTTATTACCATTATTAGGAAGCTTTTCCCAATTTAAATAGTGGGGTGGATGAGATTATTCTTAGTTGTGCAGAGCAGACAGGCTGACCTTTACATAAAACTTCTCTCATTATGGACACATATGAAAGCATATCAAGGAAACTGCTGTACAATGTCTCCTGGAACATACATATGGGCTTCTCTAGCATACTCACATTATGGTGAGTATGTTATTATACTCGAGAAATTTTGGAAATTATCAATAAACTCAATTCTGTAATCAATTGCTAATGGGTCTCACATTAGTCAATGAAAGGCAGTATCTTAATCCAAGTGATCCCTAACCAGTAAGTTATAGAGGTCAATCGTTAACCTCCACCAAACAAAACATTTCTTGGTGGTTTCTCTCAAATGGCCTTCTAATATTTGAGAGAACATAAATCTTTTATGGTAGAAATGAAAAACTAAAAAGATTAAAGATCGTGATTTGTGGCAGTGTCAAAAGCCAAAGAAAGCCCACTACCTGAAAAACCAGAGAAAATAAAAAACACATGGTTTGAATTCTTACACCAGATCAACCACGTAGTTCATTTTTACCTTCTTTTTAGGTTTATGAAACCTTTCTAAATTTAATGGAAATTCTCAAGCCAATATAACAGAAAAAGAAAAAAAAATCCAAGGTTTGTCATGCAAGTTTGCTATACCCATTCAAAATTTTCAATCATAACACACAAAATGCAAATAGAAGACAATCAATATAACAGAGAGAGAGAGAGAGAGAAGTTGATAGTATATTATCAACAGAAAGAGAACTAAGCTGATGAATCAAAATTATATAATCAATATTAGAGAGAGAGAGAGAGTGAGTGAGAGTGAGAGAGAATAATTGATATGAGAGAGGATGAATGGGGTTTTACCGTAGCTTCCCGTAGAGTTTAGTTTGGCTTGAACGATCATGTTCGAGACGAAATGAGAAGCTTCAGAGGCATCATCAAGGAGCTTTCGAAGCTCAGTCTCAGAGCTCACATAGCGGTTCTCCTCAAACTTACGCCTGATCTCTTTAGAGGATTGCTCTAGCATGAAGTTGTCACCTGTAAATGACTTCCTCGTTGCCCTAAGAAGGGCCCTGTAGGCTCCAAGAGCCTCTCTTTGCATCCCCGCCATTAACGAACCCGTAGCACAACCGAGAGAAAACAAACCCCTTCCTTTCGAACTTGAAATTTAGGGGCGATTTTCGCATGTCTACCTTCATTTCTAAGAATTCCAAATTAGTCCCTTGTTGCTTTGCTTTTTATTTTTTATTTTTTATTTTTTATTTTTTATTTTGATAATTAAGTGGAGAAGATAGACCTTTAACCGTTTTTTCAAGTAGATTAAGATATATTTTTCTGCTTTTCTCTTTGCATCGGACGCTTCAACAACGAGAGCTTTTGGCTCTTGCAAAGGGCAACGTTGATAGTGCTTTTATATTGCAAACAAAGCCCCCTAAACAATTACAAGACACATATTTAAAGCAAGCCAGTGGTAACAAGGTTTAATTATGGACTGGGCTTTTTACTCTTGCAAAACACTCTCAAACAAAGAGTTTTTTTTGCTCTTGCAAAGCTCTCTCAAACAAGAGTTTTGTTTAATCTGCAAAGCACTCGCGGGCAATAGTTTGACCTTGGGATCACTTACTAGCTTGGCTAGGTTTTTTTTTTAAAGCGTTAATAGGGTGGTGTTAGCTGTGGGAATGAAAACCATGACATGGTGGCTCAGGTATGGGGGCCACCAAAATTTTTTCTAAAGCATTATTATCAATGGATGCAAGGCTTAGGCTTTATGAAAACAAAGGAAGGTCTATCTTGATTCCTCGTTTGACAAGCACTTTAGGCATAGATATCTATGCAATGGCTCTAAATCAATTTCTAACACCAATTATGAAATTTGAAACTCAAATATATATAGATATTACGGATTTGTGAATATTTGTTTTTAAGGTGAAATGGATGTTTTAGATAATATGTTGCCGTATACATTTTTTAAGGCTTGAATTTCTAATTTTTTTTTACAATCACATGGTCAAAGGTGAAGGCGAGATGATCAATATCAAGGTTTTCTTACTTATACCTGCAACTTTTCATGAGTTTTGAGGTGAGGCTTTAATTATTTTTATAGGGCTGCATCAAAACATTTTCCATTATCAATATGAGACCGGCAACTGCAACTTTTCGTGAGTTTTGAGGTGAGGCTTTAATTATTTTTATAGGGCTGCATCAAAACATTTTCCATTATCAATATGAGACCGGCAACTGAAGCGTGAGTTTTTGAGGTGAGGCTTTAATTATTTTTATAGGGCTGCATCAAAACATTTTCCATTATCAATATGAGACCGGCAACTGAAGCGTGGAGGGCTTTCATCTAGTCAAAATCAATCGAGAATATTGGCCAAACTGTTGGCATGGGTTTTTGTATATTAAGAAATTTGTCTAATTTTATTTAGCTAGTCGAATCAGTAAAGCTGGGTTTTTGTGGATTAAGAAATTTGTCTAATTTTATTTAGCTAGTCGAATCAGTAAAGTGGGGTGGTTTGACAGTCAAGCATTGATTTTAATCTGTTTTTATTTTTACGTAACCCTATTTTTACCCTAGACTAAACGATCAAGACACTGTTAGAGTCCAGTCTTGATAATTATGTTTTAAAAGAAGCTTCCAGCAACATATTTTTATTTGGAATTTGATTTCATGCACATATATTGTACTTCCTTGGAAGCGTAGTTTAGTTATGCAATATCGGTCAAAATACTTACTTGGGAGGATTTTTTCAATCTCAAATTTTGGAACCACTTAAAAAAGTAGATGATTATTCCAAAAAGAAAAAGTTGAAATTAAAATTTTCGAAAAATTAGATCTTATCATCTAAAAATTGGATGGTCTCTATTTAATCTCAAGCTTTTTTCCTTTTCTCTTCTATTTTTTTGTCTAAGTGCATCGAGGGTTTTTTTTTTTTTTGAGGGTACAAGTAGGAAAATTCTTTTATTGAAGTTAAGTAATCAATTGTAGTTTTCAGATGTGAAATTTGATAGTTTCAGAAATATCACGTCATGAAAAAAAAAATTTATGGATTTTGAACCCAAAATTTTATGGATTTTTATGGATTTTGAACCCAATTTTGACATCCAAAGGTAAGTGGTCATTGTGACCTCTCTGTCCCAACAATAAATACTCTAAATCTATACTTCCTCTTAAAAAATACTATTTGTTTTTTATGGCCAATTCGGAATTGATAAGTCACGGGCCGAACATTTTGCAATTAACGTAAATTTAGTGGTTATATATAGAATCCTAATATTCTTCAAAAACAATTATAAAAATTGATCCATACTTGGAAGTTCAGCCATTTAAAATTTTATCCTTTTTCAATTAACTCATGATCATCTGTCTTTTGAAAGATTTTTTAAATAGTTAAAAAATAAGAATATTATTGAATATCTAATCTCTTGGCAATATTTTGGTAAATTTATCTTTTTAATTATAATATCTGATCACTTTGAAACGACACGTAAGGTTTAGCCTAAAAATAAATAGAAGCTGCTAGAGTTTTATTTGATATCTCCTAAGAAATAGAATTTGTTTTTTTTTTTAAACAAAAAGCAATTTATAATTTGAACTAGGACGTAAAAAGGTATTTTTTTTATTTGGAAAAAGTTTATACGGCGCACCTCAAAAATTCCACTAGAAAGAGTTGCTTTGATGCCCAAATATTCTCAAATAGATCATCTCGACCTCAAGATGCATGGACGTGAGAAAAAAATGGATTTTAAGTTTTGGAAATAGTGCATCTTATAATGTATTTTTTTACCATCAATTTTCAGGATTTTCAAGTTTTTATAAATTGACTCAATCTATACTATTTTTTAAGCTTTAATTTTTTAATTAGACATGAAAATATATTTTAAGGCTATTACAAAGATTTCCAGTATTAAAACCACATTTTCAATAATATTTGAAGCTGCGCTTTACTTTGATTGTTTAGAGCCTCGACCTTGTACAAACCGCACCTTTTTTAATTTGAGGGGGCCTTTTATTATTTAAGAAATTAATCAAAATACAAATAAATGGTAAACTATTTTTAAAAAGTACACATAAATAGTAAATTATTTTTAAAAAGTGCAAACTTTCTATGCTTCCCCTACAGCATAAAATTTATATACTTCCCCTTATCCAACCGTCCATTCTGAATGGAGGGCTAAGATTGCCACCATCACAATGTCACATCTCTACATATTTTTACTTTTTTTTCTATAAACTATTTTGACACCAAATTTTGGACGTCCAATATTCTATTAAACACACACCAACGAAAAAATATATATAAAAAAAAAATTCAATAAAATAAAATGATCAAAATACCCCTGAAAGCTTCACGGTGTATTTTGGTCATTATAATTTTTTGAAAAATTATTTTTAATATTTTTTATAGTTACGCCCCAATGAGAAGATGACACATACCAAATTTCATATTCATACAATTTATTTAAAAAACTAAAAATAAAATACTTTGAGACGTCGGATCTAAGATCAAACGGTAAATGGCTCTCTTGATCAAAATTGGACAGCTGGATGGTAGGGGAAGCATAGATCTTCTATGTTGTAGGAGAAGTATAGAAATATTCCTCTTGTATCAATATCTCGGATGTAATTTGCATCAATTTAACATACAAATAAAATTTCTCAAATGTTCTAACTATTGAATATATGGGGCCATTAAAGGCTTTATGAGTATTTGTAAAGGAACTTTTGATGTAATAGAACATGAACTCAGTGGGAGTATATTCCTGTGTAGACTATACTAAGAAAATGATGTTTGCTGATATCGGACTGAGTATTACAAGCTAAGCTAGTTGGATAGGAAAAACCCATGATACCTGAGCATAAAGATTAAATTAGTAAGGGTTATAATGGGTCATCCCTTGACGAGGTTCGAGTATGCCCGGACAAGTGAGTCGACGAACTATGTGGCCCTTATGTGTGATGAAGGACTTCAGAGATGGGGCCAAAGCCTCATTTGCACACCATCACACGGCATGCATATATGATAACCGTTTCGAAAAAGCGAACCTCCTTTCAAGGTAAAGCTTGTGCATGTACGAAAGATTACCCTATGCGCCATAGAGTTGTGGTTGCATCAGGACTATGTGACGTTGATACATTTCTAAGGAAAAACTTGAAATCCACAGACTGAGATTACAACCTCTTGCTCATTAGCTATACTTTGGTAACCCACTAATGAGTCCCACTAATGAGTCCCTCATAAACTGTTAGTTATGAGCAATACTAGGTTGGTTTGAGAAAACATGTGCGGACCTTAGTCATTTTGTTTTAGGATTTTTCATATTCGTGGGTCGTTTGTGGCATGTAGGAAGGACCCGTGCAGCGGTAGTATGATTTGAAAAAGGAATCGATCGTGATTTTGAACATATTATTTCCATGATTCCTTTTAACTGAGACGATAGATCAAATAGGTGAAGTAGGAATCAATTTGGATTCCACAGTACATATTTGGATCAGGTCATACTTAAAAAAAAGGAGGGGAATCTTTTTTTTTTTTTCAACTCATTTCTATTTGTGGCTCGGCTATTCCCCTTAGTCGAGCCTTTTCCTTTATAACAAAAAACCTATAAAGAAATATTCAACGAGCAAAATGAGAGAGAGGGATTCAAACCCTGGATAGTTCTTTGTTCGGAACTATACTTTTTTTCAATACCAGAGCTATCAACCACTCAGCCATCTCTCCCAGAGACACTTACCGTATTTGGGATTGAATGTTAACCATTGAGCCCGTACTATTGGAAGGTGGTGACTTAATATGAGGTGTAACAAACTCGGTTGAAGTAATATTTGGTATTTTTTTTCTTGTTTCTTGTCATGTTTAATTATTATATCTTTTGTTATTCCCAAACATAGCATTGTGATTTTCTAAATGTTTTAGTGGCATTAAGTTTTATATTCTAGATTTGTTTTCTTTATTTTTTTCAAATTAATTACATTGTAATGGACTGCTAATGAGATCTAAGCCAGAAAAGAAAGAGAAAAGGAGAAAAAAAAGAATATACGCACCGACTCGATTAGACAAGTCCAAACTTTCATTAGCACACTTTCATTTATTAGATTTCAGATTCAATGGGCAAAAATAATTGTGACCTCTTTATACTGAATA